ATAGGTCGGAGAGACAAGTTGGTGTACAAAGTGAAATTCCTTCTTACGACCACTCTTCAATGCCGAGGTAGTCTTAGTTGCTCTGTGCTAGGAAAGGAAATATTGTGGCTTTTTATTATACCCTGAATAGATATCATAGAATCATATAATTTTTGAGATATCGAACTTGAATTTCAAAATTAAGATATGGATTTTTATACCGTTTCAGTTTATAAAAAAATACYCTTCAGTTTATAAAAAATGCACCTTTTGAAAGTGCTTTTGATACTGATTATTGAAATTTCGGAATAGAGAACRGTAGCTTATGCCTACACCAACATCAGAATTTTATATGTTGACGTTTTCATTTCTCAATAATATAACTATGTTTAGTGGCTCGATTCTGCTGAGCACAAATAGCCCTTCCAGCTTAGAATTATAGTTTCCTGCTTGTTTGCTCTAGCGATTTATTCGCTAGCAGTTCGAATATTGCTACAAAAACAACAATATGATGGTATATGTATTGGCCCTTGCTCCTTAGATTTATGGTCTTCGCTTCGACAAGCAGCGCTTATATAATATTTGTGGCTGTTTAAAAATGATATRTGTGTATGTATGTATGTAAAATAGTATTAATTACTGAAAGTCGAAGCTTTGATGCGATTGTCGAACTGCGGTTGAATTTTTTGAATAACTAATAACTATGTAATATATATATAGATATATAATATATTGGGTAGTCGAAAAAGTCTTTTCGTATTTTGCAAATAGTTGTCTTTGTAGTCGTATATCTCCAGTGCTCGCAATCATATTGTGTTATAATATATAATAATATGTAATAGTGTTGCAAAGGTGAGATTTAACGCTTCATTTAACCCAAAAAAAAAATTTAATTCGGGGAAGTTGAAAAAAGTTACAGCTGTTCAAAACTGATTAAAAATAATGAAGAAATTCGCTAAACTTTGAAATTTTTGTAGAAAAAAGTGAAGTATGCCACGCAAGCAACCGATTAAATTTTTGAAGTTTACGAAGGCGATGCTGTATCAGTTGATTGATTGATCAGGACCATCATTAAGCAGCCATGACATCGCTAAGGAACTTAACATTCATTATCAAATTATTTTCAACCATATAAAAAAGGCTGGCTGCAAAAAGAAGCTCGATGTTTGGGTGCCACATGAATTATCTGCAAAAAAATTTAATGGACCGAATTGACATCTGCGTTTCTTTGCTTAAAGGAATTAAGTGAAACCATTTCTGAAGCGAATGGTAACAGGAGACGAAAAATCTATCAAATACGACAATAATATGCGAAAAAGATCATGATGAGGGTGTGGTGAAGTTCAAAAAATGTTTGGAAAGCCAGGATTGACGCCTCGGAAGGTTATGCTGTGTGTTTGGTGAGTAGTTTTTTGTTCGATGAAAGTCGTTAAAAATCATCCACTTTATTTTGCATTCCTCAATACTCATTACTTACCTGATATATATGTATATGTGACTAGCTAATTTTGTTTCCTTAACTTGTACAAATTACCTCTCGATATCAAGTTTAATACCTACAGGGCACTCAGGTCACACACACATATACATACATACAAACATAAGCGTATGCATTTGTCGAGCAGTTTCGCTTTTATCATCTCGGCGCCCACTTTTCCCACCCTCAGAAGCTAGACAAATGTTCTTCTTACATCCTCAACTATCTGTCTAACAACAACAACAACAACAACAACAACAAACGTATGTCGATATTTGCCGATGTGTGGGTGTGTGTTTTCACGCTCTGCCTACAAATACTCGTGTGTAACTTACATGTCTACACAAAACGCTTATTTGAAATTTCGCGACTGTCAAGTGTTTGTCACTGTAGCTTCTATTTACAACTATTTACTTGTACTGTTGCAATAGTTATTGTTTTTACTGTAGCTGTTGATGATGATATTCTCAACAACAAGTCGTCACAGTCACTCGGCCACTCGCTCAGCCACTCAGCCCGTGTCAGTTTGTCCAGTTCATTGTGGAGCCGTGAACGAGCCGTTTGGACAAGCGCTTAGCAAGCAAAATTACCGTTAAAGTGCATAAAGTTCAGCTGTGAAAGTGCAAATTGTTTAAAAGGATAAAACGTGCTGATAATACCGATAAATAATCGAAATCTCTAAATAAATTTGAATTGCTTTGTGCTCTCGGAAATTATGCTTCGTGTGTTTTGAAGTGCATTTTTTTTCCAATGTCAGCCAATCGTTGTGGCATTAACGTAAATGCGTTTATGAAGTGTTTGCACTAATTTCTACAAGTAWTGGCGTTTATCGATATAAGAAGTGTTTTCTATACGCTACTTACTTAATACACTGAGCTTAAGGTGATTGTAAATTAATAACGTAAGTACAAGTGCTTCGTAAATTCCCAATAACAATTGCGTTGTGTCATAGAATTGTGGAAAAAATAACTTTCATTTATTTGCCAAATCGATAAATTAATGAAAAATTATGAATTTGGTTTAAAAGCAGTAGGCAACAACTAGAAGTGCTATTTATAAATTTTAAAAGAATATTGTTGCATTTTGTTTATGGCATTATAAATTTCATAATAAATTCTTCATAAATTCTTATTTTGTTATGAGGGCTAAACGGAAATTTTAATTTCTCAATGAAAGTTTTTTAAGGCATTAAATGAGCTTCCTTGAGCAAAAACCTTACATTTTCAATCATTTTTTTCCATATAAAATTTAAATATTTTACAAGAAACTTGTTATTATTTCAAATATACATAAAGTATTTTAGAAAGATTTTTTGAAAATTTCAAAAGACAATATTCCAAACTTGGCCATTACGACGTCATTTCTGGCAGTGCTTCGGAAAAAAAGATGCTGCCGCCTTGACAACAGGATTTCTTACAGCATTATTCGAAGCAACAAAAAAATTCGTGTTTAAATTGAGACCAAAAACGAGATATTGGACGAAAAAAAGTGAAAAGTGTATTTTTGGCAGACATTTATAAAAGAATGAAATTTCTGACGAAAAAGTTCGACGTTGATTGTCATTTAATATTTGTAGATAAAACCAAAATGCTTTGAACGAAGCCTTGTAAATTAATCTGTGTTTAATTTCATTAAAATTTGTTGATTAGTTCGCAAGAGATCTTGCCAACCAACTTTGAAAACACTGGTTCTTGAAAAATTCGGTTAACGTTTGACCTAACCAACGGGTAATGAAAGTATATGTGCTTTTTCAATTAGCATTTTTTTGACAGATCGCGCGTGAGTCGTGTCAAGCTGTCATATTATTTTTGTTCAGCATAGCTTGTCATTTCATCATGAAAAGAAAAAAACTTTACAAATCGTTCAACTTTATTATGAAAATTCGCGTCATCCCCCATCTTGCGATCCACCATTCATTATTGGATAATATTCAACCGAATAGACGACGTCCAGTAGTGCAGAAAATATACTCGTACCAGCCCTAGCTGTAAGTGTACACGAAGACCGTGGAGAGTCAATTCGGCCGTAGCAACTTAGACTGACGTATGGAATGACTTGGCTTATTTTACGTCAAGATCTTATATTGAAAGCATACAAAATACAGCTTGTGCAAGAACTGAAGCCGCTTGACCTTTCCAAGCGAGAACGCTTTGCTATGTGGGCTTTTGAAAAGTTCCAAAAAGATGTGACGTTTTTGAAACAAATTTTTGTGCAGCAGTGAGGCTCATTTCTGGCTCAACGTGTATATAAAGCAAACAAAAGTGYCGCATTTGGGACGAAGCGCAACGTGAAGAGATTCAAGAGCTGCCATTTAATTCAGAAAAAACAAGGGTTTGGTGTAGTAAGCCGTTGGAATCATCTGTCCATATTTCTTCAAAAATGATGCCGTTGAGAGTGTAACCGTCAATGGCGAACATTATCGCGCCTTGACAACCGACTATTTGATGCCTGAAATTGAGACTCGTGTTCCCGGCGACATTTGGTTTCATCAAGACGCTGCCACTTAACACACATCGCAGCAATGAATTGATTTATTGAAAGAAAATTTCGTTGGGCTGATAATTTCACATTTTGGGCTGATCGATTGGGCACCAAAACGTGTGATATAGTACCGATAGACTTTTTTCTGTGAAGATATGTAAAGTCGGAAGTCTAAACGGACAATCCCGCTTCGATTCAGGTTTTAAAGCAAAGCATAACATGTGTCATTTGCTGGTTACCAGTCGACTACTAGTATATATATATCTGAAACCCATGTAATCACGTAATTTTATATAAAACSCAAGTATTTGAGTGGCATAGATTAATCGAAAGTACGTCGAATAAMGAGTACGTAGTCAACTTCCAGTTCTACTAATGACTGTAAGCAAAATAGCAACTGTTCCTAAAAATGCCTGATAGTGGTCGGTGCGTCGCTAATGGAACAACATACGTAGAAGAAGCGGAAGCACGTTCTCACAACGTCATCACACACCTTTGTGTGTATGTGCCGTGTCACTGCCACCCATTTAAAACTATTTTGACAATAATGTCGAGTACAATGTCSAGATCTTTGTTGATAAAACTTTATTAATTAGATCGACCACTGGGCATTACTTTTTACCATTATTATATCGATATTCGACTTCAAGTGCTATTTGGCTGCATATACTTATCAAAGGAATTACAAAGTTTTTGCAGAGAATCTTAAAATTGTAGTATACCCATCGTGGTGAGGTTCTGAAGCAATTACTGAACTACATTGCACCAACTGAATGTACTTGTAAGGCGGACGAGAACTTGCTCAGGCTGTTAATACTATATTTAGCCTTTTTCATGAATTTGAGAATTCTTGCTATCTACAACGGTCATCACTAATTTACAAAGTCAACATTTCTAGAAATCCACCGACGCCATGCAAACCTGTCTGCAAGAAGCAGCTATGCATTGCCTCTACTAAAACATGCTTCCACTGTACCTCTCAACTCATAACAAAACCGTTGAATTAATGGCATGAAAATCTTCAAACAACCCGCAGTACCGAAAACTTAAAAACACTTTGTATTTATTTCTTCGTTGTTAAGCTTTTGCGTATTATACACCGAACCCAAGTATAGAGTCTGAAAATTGTCACTTCAAAAAACTCAAACGCAAAGCTAATGAGACTCAACAGAAACAAAATAGACGTGGCTGCGAGTATTTCATGTAAGTCCGCCATTTGCATTGGCTTGAAATCATAATACGTGCCATTGTCATACAAAGTTAACCAGTCCATTTCCAATAATTCCAAGAAACTGTGACGCCGCCAGTGATCAATCAAACCGGCTTCGTGTAGACGTGCCAGGAACTCATTCAACGGTTGACGGTGCATTGAACTCTCCTGCAAGGGAATAACCATCGGGTAGTTACGACAAAAGCAAATGTCGGATAGGCGAAAAAGCGGTCGAGCGAAATATTTCTGCARCTCATCGTAGATGGCCCACATATCGGTCACCATAAATGCATAACTGGTATCCAGCGTGTCACGTAGTAATAGGAGCTCCGTGAAATTATTAAAGATGGTAAAATTCTGCAGATATTGCCTAAAATCCAAGTTATTACTAATTAACTCAAGCTCTTCAGCGCTAACAGCCACTTKTATGCCTCGACGCAATAATTCGTTAATTGTTTGGACCCTAGCACCAGGCGGTGCATTCACAATGTAGCTGTGCAGGTAAGTGCCGTATGCTGTGCCAACTATCACACCCGCCAATGAGGTAGTACAAACCAACAGTTTATGTTTGCTTGAAATGCGCCTGTCAATATGAAATGCCATGCCCAGCAAGCCGGGCAACAGTGGAATATTGATGAAGTGCTCCAATATTTTCAGCGGTGGCTGAGCTTGCCAACGCGCTATGYAGATCCAAAAACAGCTGATCGCAATGAAACTGCAGCTGAATAAAATTATAACAGTACTTTGTATGATATTAAAGTAGAAGGACGATTTCGGCAGTGGCTGCTCCAGTGGCACCATCAGACACCAATTGATGTGTTGAAACACTACCGAATAACTGATATTATGATCACTGAAGTCGATGAGTTGTAGTGAGCCCATGTCAATGGTCTTATTCTCGAAGTAAGCGCACAATTCCACATAGCTGAAATATTTACGCTGCGTGCTCATGGGATGCTCAATTGTGGCATTGTGAAAATTTGCATATTCTACCAAAGCGCGGCCTAAGAAACCGCTAAGCGTGGSMTCGCCTGCTGTGGGCGTGTATGTATAAATTTGCGGATACCAAGCTTTCGTGAATATGCGCAATGGATGACCATACATATTGGACAAATGTTTTGGAAATATTGCTCGATAATCTGGTGGCGTAAAGCTGCTTTTAACTGGCATTTGTGTGGGATATATGCGTAACGTCCAGTAGCTATATTCCATCACAACTRTGTGCGGCTGCAGCACAATTACATTGAAAACTTGATGCCTCAAACACAACCTTAGTATTTTACTTACATAACCCGAGCTTGCTAAGTCGTCGAGTAGCAGTATAAGTCGAGTTTGTCTAATGCGCCAAAGCCGTTGCCAGAGCTTTCTCAAGAGACATTCATCCAATTTGCGGTTGTGCGTGAGCTGTGCGATGCTCAGCAGTTCCGTATTGAATTTGTTAATGTAACGTTCGATGGGCGGTGTGGTGTCAATATGCAGAAATGTTACTGTATCACGTGTGTTTTGGGTCAGTGAGTGTAATATGTTTATGGAATCTAGCGCAGTGATATTGTCCCTTGCATGACTTGTATATATAATTGTATTCACCCGTCGCTCCTTCGAGGAGCTAATCACAATATCGGCCAGTATTTGCATAAATTCTTGACCCAATGTCGTCACACCAATTAAGTTAAGTATCGTTGTGAGATTCTTGAAGCTCTGCATATTACTTGGGATTAGTATATGCTAGMGCTCCTTACTTTCCGTACTGTCTGCAGTGAATGTATGGTAGGTACTGAAAATTCGATTGTCAACGTCTGTTTTATATACAAAATTTTCATGTCACAAGGATTAATGTGCCGTTATTAGTTAAGTTGTGTACAGATTTCAGATAGTGTAAATTTCTGCTGCGCTTTAATTGCTCGCTAATATTGTCTGTCAACTAAGTTTACACCATAAAAAGCTATTGAGCTGCTTCTCATAGCCTTGTGTAATAGCATCATTGATTATAATTGTTGGCATTACTAAACTTATGGGGATAATTTTATATTTTATATATATTCTCATATATTTAAATCACATTCATAATTTAAATTTTTGAGACAGTTCTTCTTTTTATTAGAATTTGGATCCAGTTTTATCTAAATTCGCGCAAGGTATAGCCTCGCATTTGATGCGGTTATAGAGTATACAAAAATTTCTCATTCAAAAATAAAATATATTTTTCGAGACATTTGTGCGCCCTATTACTTAACCAACTAGTGGTTATAGAATTGCACCCCAACAATGTTTCTTCGTCTATGAAATATCAACAGCCACTTCGTCCTTCACCACTTTTTTCAATATAACACCAAGYTATATTCTGCCGACATTATTGGTTTCAGCAGATCTGTTATTCGAAGGCAATTCTCTTTGATTTGTCTTATTTCTACGAGCGACCAATAGAAGATGCTTTTACAATTTATAAATATACAAGTAAGTGCTAATAGCTTACTCAGCTAAGAAGGTTTCAGTTGACCCTGTTTTTAAGACCCTAAATATTGGTAGGCCACCGGAAGGTTCGTGCAACATCTGGCTCTCCATGGTCCATCAGTGGTGTGCCGTATTTTCCTATATAAGGGCCTTGTTGGCATAGAATATAGACCTGACGTATCATTACAGAAAATGATTGGGTAATTTCGTGAGATAACACGTTTAGCAAACTTGGTTGTAAATCGCTTGGGACCTTCGCTGTGAGGCTTATGATACCGTTCAGTTGGAATCACATATTGTTCAGGTTCATATCATCCGATTCGAGCCAAAAAGATTCGGTTATCATTGAGCGGTAGCGATTCCCATTCACAATAACATGACAGTTTTAATCATCAGGGAAGAAGTACGTCCCAATGACGTCGCCGGCCCATAAACCGCAACAAACCGTAATTTTTCCGGGATGCAATGGTGGCTCATGGAGTACGTGTGGATTGCTGCCTGGCCAATAACGCATATTTTGCTTATTGACGAAGCTATTCAGCCAGAAATGCGCTTCATCGTTGATGAAGATAATTCGCTGAAAACCCGGATCATTTTGAAGTTGTTGCTTAGTCAAATTTACGAACATACGACGTTTATGGAGGTCAATCAGCTTCAGTTCTTGCATCAATTTAATCTTGTTAGGATGTAGGCCAAGAACTATTACCAAATTCGGCACAACGACGTCACAGAGATGCCCAACGCTTTAAAAGACGTGTGTGAGATAGATTTGGGTCTTCTGCGCTAGCGGCAGCAATACTCTCGACACTACTTTGTCTTATCTGCACGGGAGCATTTTGTACTGCGTCTGTTTTCACTAGACGCTCGATTGTTGATCTGATAGTATGATTATGAAGACCATAAATTGGACTTAGCGCTCGTAAGGTTGAGGCCACCGAATCCGAATTTCGGTAGTAAGTTTTAATAATTTTGCCTCGTTGTTGTATTGTTTATCTTTCCATGATGAAATGGCAAGCCTTACTGAAAAATTTGCTCATTTGACGGATCCGTCGATATCGAACTTTTCATTTGACGGCGTATCTTCACGGAATTTRGCATGGATTATTCTCCAAGAAAATATTCTATGAAATTCTTCAGATCGTGCCACTATAGCTTATAACTGCCATACAAMYTGGTCGATTGGAATCAAATGCTTGTAAGGAAAACTTTTTAATTTGAAGAGTTAYATTAATGAAATTTTTAACGATTTATTATTTAAGRCAGTATTGTGCTCTCCGAAGAAACTGYTCAGATCGTGGCACTGTAGCACATAGCTGCCATRYAAACTGACCCATSAAAGTCYAGTTCTTGTAAGGAATCTTTGGTMTTTGYAAGGAGTATTATAGACTTAGTGCAACCGATGTTAACGTTGCTTGGTCTAAGCAACAGCGTATAAGTTAAAAGTAAAACTAAATAGTTTTACACAACRACAACAACAACAACAATATGCGTGCAAATAAAATACCGGCACGTTTGCAGTAAATATAAATATATATTATGTACATATAAACATTTATGTAATATTCGTGATTTATGCCAATTTTGACGTCTTTCACACTTCAATCGCAGAATAATGCAGCAGAAAGTGGGCGGCAGAAGAAGCTACTAATTTCATTACATTCGCTGCTTTTTGTTTACCTTTACACTTGCTGTTGTTGTTACTTTTTGTTAAAACAATAGCAAACTGTCTAAATATTTGTGCACTTGAGTGCGATTCGACACATACATACATATGTACAAATACATACACATATAAAACGTTACGTTTATATAGCAACAATTGGCTATGCAAACGCGAAAGTACCGTAGCAAAACAGTTAGCGAAAATTTTGCACCTACTTGTCAGTTAATAAGCAAAAATACATATTTTTTATTTACTAGCATGTGATTAGACTACTATTAATAACTACAATTTACCTTATATCATGAAGAATTATAAAAATCGCTAAATTATTGCTAAAAGTTTRTTTAGATATAAATCTTGTCTTAATGAATTTTGCGCCATAACCAATCTTTAACCAATTTATTTCCTTTCATTTTTCAGTTTTTCTTAAGTGGCATTTCCGCGTTAGTTACAGTTATACGTTTTCCACTTTGCATTCATCAGATTTCCGTTCAGTATGCGCATCAACTTAATGAACAGCTTACAACCCCCAGTGGATGAGAAATTATCATCTGCTGCTTCGGATTATTCTRCAGTTACGACGCCTTTGCAGCGATTATCGCCACCGCCGCGCATACAACGTCAGGTCACCATAGAAGGGCAACCGGATTCACTCAACAGCGTGATCAGTAACCCAGGCTCGTTTCCGATTACAATCGTACCAAATCGGCCAGCGAGTTTTTATGGCTATGCGAAAACTGGCGGTGGYGTTTTCCAACGCCAAGCGAGTACCAGGTGAGTGACAATATTTTTGATTTCATATTGTATTATAGTATAACTATAGRATATAAGAAAAGCATGAGCAATAGCGTTATTCGAAGTATTGCCCATCTGAAGCTAATGCTGACAAGATGTCACATATTTCTTACAAATTGTGGTTTCCATCAAAAAAATCAAAAAAAAAAAAAAAAAAAAAATGCTATAGATTGGCGGCTTAGAGTGTATCAATAAATATTTTGATACCCAGTTCTGTTGTTAACAGTATTCCAGTCAAGGTGTTCTGCATCGAACGGAATAAATGCTAGTCGTAAGGCGCCATGTCTGGGCTATAAGGCAGAAGTGGCAAAACTGCCCAGCCGCTATGCCAAATAGCCTTTAATTGCTCTTATAATTTGAGGTCAAGCGCTTTCATGATGGGAATTGTTGCCTCTGGTGTAGTCCAAATTCCAGGTATTTTCCAGCAAAAGCTCGATTTCATTTGATGAGTTGTTGCCGAAAGCATTTCCCATTATTGCCATGTTTCACATATGTTTTTTTGCGTTTAGGGTTGGCTTAATGGAATAATTTTTTATCATAAGTCAAAATCCGATGCAAAAATACCTCTTTTTGTAGCGTTGAAGCAGCATTACCTATACGCAAAATTGTCTTTCAACGTCTCTTCTGATTAATTCATATGACAACCAAATTACTTGCTTTCGAATGTATCTCGCTGGCTTCAAAAGTTTAGAAATGGTTGCTTAAGTGACTTTCAAAGAWTCTGCCAACAYATCTTGTGTTTGGCARMAATCTTYAYCAGCTWCTTRTCTTCAAGCTTTTTTGGTTGCTCAGGACGTTATTCGATATTSAAGTCAAAATCAACAGTTTTAAATTACCAAAATAGTGACTCAGTTCGCGAGACGCATCAGGCGCTGCGGTCAACATTCGCCTAGCAGARTCGATTGATTCTACATTTTAATATCAACAACTGATGAGATTGAAGCAAGCAATCGAAAAACCGGCCARAACTGATCAACAGAAAGGCCTTTGTCTTCCATATGGACAACGCTTGAGCTCACATATCTTTGATGACTTGGAAGAAACTGGGAGAGCTTGGCTGGGAAGTTTTGATGCATCCATMATAGCCCTAACCTTGCACCAGCGCACTACCATTTGTTTCGGTCAATGCAGAACTTCCTTAATGGAGTAAAGTTGGCTTCAGGAGAAGCCTGTGAAAATTACTTGTCGCATTTTTCGCCAAGAAACCCGAAAAGTCTCACACTGATGGCATAATGTGAAATAACATATGGCAGAACAAGTGTCTGCATATGTTTCAGGCAAACCTATATAATGAACTCATGTACTAAAACTTCAATCCACTAAAAGTTTATATAAACAACTCCAAAAAAACGGCTTACACACGCTTCACTGAAGCGTTAAAATCAAAGCAAGCCACTAAACGCTTTGGTCAACACTACAACAGTTTGCTTGAAAAGTATGCGCGCATTTATTATTGGCATTAAACGCTTTCCATGAACGCCACACTAATAAGTAACCGATTAAAATTCGCCTTTCATTCGTTTTAGCACCGAATTAATAAATTGCGCAAACATGCATCAATCGAAGAAAAACACACGGTTAAATGGGCTTTTAGCAAGTACATCTGCTGGCGCACTTAAACATTGTTCCGGTACGACGAAGTTTTTCGTTTTTTCTACGCTTCATTTTGAGCACTTTGCGAGCTGTAAGTCAGTAGAGTGATCGTGACTGCTTTGGCCGGTGGTACGCGTGCGCGGCTGAGTTTTTCTAGTAATTACTTTAGATACATATGTGCTGATAACGGATTCGCGCTTTA